GCAGGGCCGCCCGCCGCCCCACGCAAACCCCTCGCTCCCAAGCGAAGCCATCCCTTGGTTTCCTCCTCCACAAAGCCCCCTTGCTAGCCGATGCCTGCCCTTTCTGGGCAAGCTCTGGTTCTTTTGGGGGGATAGCTTTTTGGGGGTTCCCTTGTGGGGAGGGCTCCGTGGTAGGAAGGATGGGAGGGACACATCACCCCCAACATGGAGAGCAGCTCTTGCGGTGCTGTGGGTGAATCGTGCCCAAACGGTGAGCCACCCTGGTCACCTGGCCCTCAATAAAGAGAGGACAGAGTCTCCCGGGAGCCCTACTTCTCAGCCATGGTTTGTGAAGACACGTACCAAAGCCCAGCTTAAGTCTCACGTGAAAATTGTTCTCCACCTCCTCGGTTCGTAGGATCACAGAATGGTTTGGGTTGGAAGGAGAGCCCTACTTCTCAGCTATGGTTTGTGAAGTCACGTACCAAAGCCCAGCTTAAGTCTTACATGAAAATTGTTCTCCACCTCCTCAGTTCGTAGGATCGCAGAATGGTTTGGGTTGGAAGGGACCTTAAGATCATGTAGTTTCAACCCCCCTGCCATGGGCAGGGACACCACCTACTAAACCAGGTTGCTCAGTGTCCCCAAAGTTCACACATCCTGTCTTTACGCAGTAACTGCGAAATCAGACACACCGGTCTGCTGTGTGTTTGAGGCCTCCTGAGAAGATGCAATGTCACTGCAGTAACTGCGAAATCAGACTTGTTGAGCCTCCTCACACCGGTCTGCTGTGTGTTTGAGGCCTCCTGAGAAGATGCAATGTCACCTCAGAAGCCCCCATAAGCTTTCTCAGACCTTCCAGGCTAAGGAAAACCGCTGATCCTTGTCTCCAGGTGCTGCTTTCAGGCTGGCACCAGGTTGCTCAGTGTCCCCAAAGTTCACACATCCTGTCTTTACGCAGTAACTGCGAAATCAGACACACCGGTCTGCTGTGTGTTTGAGGCCTCCTGAGAAGATGCAATGTCACCTCAGAAGCCCCCATAAGCTTTCTCAGACCTTCCAGGCTAAGGAAAACCGCTGATCCTTGTCTCCAGGTGCTGCTTTCAGGCTGGCACACTGAGAGAGCCAACCGTGCAACTTCAAAGGGACAAATCTGCTTGCTGGTACCTTGCCCCCCTCCTTTCTGGATCCCCCCTCCCGTACTTGCGATGAGAAGGAAGCCCTTGGCGAGATGCTGCGTGTCTCTGTGCCTCACACCTCGGCCAATTGGGGGGCTGGCTGCTGGGAGCCAGGGACAGAGGCTGTGCATACATGGCGTTGGGTGTCCCCAGCTTGGGGAGGGCATCTGGGCACCAGTGGTTCCTGCCTGCCAGATGTGCTGTAATTAGTGTGGGAGTCCTCCATGCCTCTTCCCCACCAAGGGTTTCAGCCTCAAGGTGGAGGGGAGGGAGGGAGAGGAGTGATGGAAGGCTGTCAGCAGGGGGGAGTGACGGGGGACTCCTGATCAAAGCTGTTTGCCAGCAGGCAGGGGGGCACGGGGAGAAGGGGGCAATCCGCTTCTGACCCCTCCAGAGAAAGTGAGGGTGAGGAGGAATGATAAATAACATGGCTGCTCCGTGAGCTGGCCTTCTACAAAGGCAGGGAGGGGGAAAAAAAAAAAGCTTCAGAGTTGATTCTTGGCTTTCCTGCCCTGCTGCAGCCCTGTGTAATGTCCTTCTGGAGCCAGCTCCTGCCCTGCAGATAAGCAAGGCTGAGCAGAGCTGAGAAGTGGCAGAGAGGTGGAGAACAGGCTGTGCCTAAGAAGAAAAGGGGGGGTTGGCTCCAGCTGAGCAAGGGAGTCAATAGCAGTGCTGGTCCAGTGTGTCTGATCTCCATCAGCCCCCCTAAAAAACAGTGTCTGAGCAGCAGCTCTGGGAGGCAGAAGCAGCCTATTGATTACTGCTTGGTGCAGAGATGATTTGGAGAAGTGGATCTGCGGCCTCTTCCCCACCAAGGGTTTCAGCCTCAAGGTGTAGGGGAGGGAGGGAGAGGAGTGATGGAAGGCTGTCAGCAGGGGGGAGTGACTGGGGGACTCCTGATCAAAGCTGTTTGCCAGCAGGCAGGGGGCACGGGGAGGAGGGGGCAATCCGCTTCTGACCCCTCCAGAGAAAGTGAGGGTGAGGAGGAATGATAAATAACATGGCTGCTCCGTGAGCTGGCCTTCTACAAAGGCAGGGAGGGGGAAAAAAAAAAAGCTTCAGAGTTGATTCTTGGCTTTCCTGCCCTGCTGCAGCCCTGTGTAATGTCCTTCTGGAGCCAGCTCCTGCCCTGCAGATAAGCAAGGCTGAGCAGAGCTGAGAAGTGGCAGAGAGGTGGAGAACAGGCTGTGCCTAAGAAGAAAAGGGGGGGTTGGCTCCAGCTGAGCAAGGGAGTCAATAGCAGTGCTGGTCCAGTGTGTCTGATCTCCATCAGCCCCCCTAAAAAACAGTGTCTGAGCAGCAGCTCTGGGAGGCAGAAGCAGCCTATTGATTACTGCTTGGTGCAGAGATGATTTGGAGAGGTGGATCTGCATGTAAGGCGCTAAGGGAGCGTGACGGGGCAAATCCAGGTGGCGTGTGGTGCTCCAGGGCCCCTCTGTGACCCTTCTGTCCTGACCTTTCATGCTAGTCTGGCTCTCATCCCGCAGGCACAACTCCAGAACCTCTTCTGGTCACAAGGGTGATGTGAGTGCAGTGTGGAACGCAGCAAGACAATGTTAAAATGCTGCTTTTCATTTTACATCCTGAGTTTAAACAGTGTGGCTGTTTTCTTGACATTTCAGAGGAGATTTTGAATACTCTCAGTCAAGGTGGGAGCAACGGTATGGGAGATAAAGGTTCTGTCATAGTCCCGAGACACACACCCCCATGTAACCAGTGTATGGAAAGGTTTGGTAGTCCTATTGAATCAATTAATACATTTAAAACCATCACCAGCCACCACAAACAGCTTCCAGTCTTGTAATCATTTGTAATCCACCTCTCCCAATTTGTATGGTTTGTTTTTTTCCTACTGTCTTTATTTAGAACATAAAGTTGCCACTTTCTAACTGGGCCAGCTGTTGCTGCTGTGGTTTGTGTTTGTGCGTGAGCAGCCTGAGCTCTGCATGTGCAGCAGCCCTTGTGCTTTTGCGTTCAGCCCTACCATTACAGAGGACTTCTCCCCTGTTGCTTCCCAGCTTCGTGTGCCCTGTTAGCAGAAGGTAGGTCTGTGTTACCACCAGGGAGTGTTTAAAGGATTCATGAGGTTGAGGATCTCCCCTTTGTTACCACCCAAGAGCACAGCCACATGGTTTCATCCTAACAGTCTCTCCATAACCAGAATTGAGCTGGGGCCAGCCAGAGTGTTTGTTCGTAGGTGCCAACCACATTCAGACACATGGGCTGCTTAGGAGGAAGGATTCACTCTCATCCCTTGCCCTCTGGAAGTTGCTTAGGATTTCAACCTCTTGTTTCATTGAACTGGGTTTCATCAGCCAAATGTTTCTCTGAAAAGCTTCCAAACAGTCAAGAGGGTAATCAAAACATATTGCCTTTGGCAAGGAGGACCAGTATTTGTGGCTGCTCTTGCAGCAGGTCCTGCAGGACTAGAGTAGTTCCTCTAACGTTACCTGAAGGGATTATTCTGCTCACAACTCACTTGCAGGTGTCCCAGATGGAAGCCGTAGGTCCTGGGATCATAATTGTAAGAGTCTGAGAGTTTAGAAAAATGCATGTGAGACTCTGGCCTGGAGTATAAAGCTCTTTGGACACCTTTTTATTTCTGTGTGTGTGTTTTCCTCCCATTGACCAAGCTTCTGGAGGGAGCCTGTCTTTGATCACAGTCTTGCTGGACACTGCACTGGGTTTTTAGTCCATTCCTCTGGCCAAACAGTCCCAGTAATAACTCAGCTGGCTTCACCTGGTCCATGCTCCAGCACACATGCCCCTTCTTCTCCCTGGGAGCAGAAACTACAACTGGATTTTGCTGTTCCCGTGAGGGACCTGTGTGGTGCAAGGCTCCGCTCTGCAGGTATGAGCCCTGACAAGGGAAATGGCTGGTCCTTCTTTGAGCAGCTCCAAGAGTTCAGTTCTGTTTATCACAGAGAAAACGGTGGAGCAGGTACGAAGATGATGCTGCTGTTTACCAACACAGATCACGGTGAGCACATCATCTAGGGGAAAACCACCGGTGCACCCTTCTGCCTGCAGGCGCTCTTGGAGCTTGTTCAGCTGCTCCCTTTAGGCTCACTTTTGATTTCATGGGCAAGACTAAAAAAGCAGCCTGGTTTTGGCATCCACCAACCACTGCACCTGGTGATACTGGATTTTCATGTGAATCTTTGGGTTAGGACCAAATCTTGTCCTCTCACATCAGACAGCAGGAGATGAGTGATGTTTACTTCTGGCAATCGATCACATGAACATCTGCTTGAAAATAGATGCCAATGGTATGGGTGTTTAGGTTGCCAGAGCCCAAGCAGGGACTGAAGAAAATCCAAAATAACAGGGTAAATCCTCTCTTTTTTTCAGCCCTCTCTCTGTTTAGGCCAGAGCTGGGGAAAATAATTCCTCACAAATGTAGGAATTTGTGTGTGCTGAGGTAGTGTGACACTGGGTGGAATGGATCTGATCAAGGGTGTTGAAATGAGAAATACTTGCTTACTGTATTTCTAAAATATTTCAGTTATCAGTGGATTTCAGTTTAATTATTATTATTAAGTATTACGCAAACCTCAATATGTTTCAGTTTGGGTTGAATGCAGCAGCTGTTTGTAGGTTTGTTTTTAGTTTTGTGTTTAGTTGGAAAAGCTAGAATGTTTGTCCCAAACAACTGACAGAAAGGTTGTTTGGGGATTTTCCTGAAAAAGCAAACATTCACTTTATTTGCACAACTACAGCCCTGACCTAAATAAAACTTTGCCCAGTATGATGATCTCTTTTGTTTAATGAACTGAAAATAGCTAGAGAAAAAAAAAAAAAACAGGATATGGTAAGACTCCAGTCTCACTTCGAACATGTTGCTTGTTTCTTTCACAATCTTATTATTTATTTTTAAATAGAAGTCTTGTTTCAGAAGCAAGCAGTTATATTCTCTTTAAAAGGTCATAAAAATATCTCTGTTTTAGAACAGCCTGGGTGGATGATGCTTACAGCAATGTGCCCAAGCAGCATAAAGTTGCCATTGCATACCTTGGCTATGCATTACAAACACAGTACATAAAACTGAACATGAGATAACGTTAAAATACAGGTTTCCCTCAAGATATTGACATATCATGATTAATGCTTTGCCAGCTCTTACATCAACACCCATACTGAACCGTGCAGAGCAGAAACAGTGTTTTCTGTTACCAAAGTAGTGTATAGCAATAAAAAGGATGGAGAGGAGGAAGCAACCTGTGTCGTGTACAAAACCATGCCCTGGGCTGCCCTGCTGATGCTGAGCTCCAGCAGCTAATTCTCAATCTAGCCCAGTGTTTGTCATGGTTAAAACTCCCGTGGTCTTGTCTTCATGTCCCAAACCAACCATTTTTATCTGTTCTTTGGTTAGAATACTACCAAATAACCCCCTCCTGTTCCTTCATTTTTTTCCCCTCCTCAAAGTTAATGGCCACAAATCTCCTGAGACAGGACAAGGCACGCAGCAGGAGGGAAGAAGAGACAGTCTGGGGTTTTAGGGTGCATGGCTGTGGCTCGGCTGAGCCATCGGTGGGGCAGATCAGCAAGGCATCATTGGCAGGAGACCCGGCCAACGCCAGGGTCCGTTTGGTGTAAGGAGCACTCAGATGTGCTGCTTGTAAAAACACCGTAGTGTTCTTGATTTGTGTCTTGTTCAGACACAGAGCCTGACTCTGCAGCACCCCAGTCTGTGCTGCTTATGTGGAAATAAGCCATGCTGTGCTACAGCTGCTCCTTCTCCAGTAGACAGCACCGTAGGCACAAGGGGCTGGCACCTGGGGCTGCCCAGGTGTTTATTATAAATTCTGTTATTATAAATTCTGTAAACACCTGCACCTACCCCCCAGGTGTTCCCTGAGTTGGCCGCTCTGCCCCAGAGCACCTGCAGAAATGCAGTGTGCAGGTGCACCACGGTGTTTCCAGGACTTGGATTTCCCTTCCTGGATTGCAGAAGAGGCACAGTAAGAAACCAGCCTGCTTCGTTGAGGATTTTTAGTGTTAACGCCAGGGATTTTCTCTTTACCAGTTAATCCCAGCTCTGTTCCTAGTTGCCCTGGCATATGCCCGGAGCAGCAGCGGTCCAGCAGGAAGGCACCTTTGGAGAGCAAGGACCTGGTGTGTTACCTTATGTAGTTTGAAATAAATATCAATATTAACATCTACATTCACCAATAAAAGTTAGCTGGGAAGAGGCAAGCAGGCTGTTCCCTGCCCTAGGCACAGATCAGCAATCCAGTGGAAGAGCAATCTATTGTGTATGACCAAAGCTGATGCATCAGACCAAAGAGTTGGTCGTAGCCTTGTGGTGGCAAAGGGATCGAGTGGACTTCTTTTTAAAGAGCAGCATTAAGTTAAACTGTATTACTCATTCTTTTACCTGTGCAATACCTTGAGGCTTCACACGATCTGAGTGACAGTAAGGTGGTTTCTGTTTCATTGCTCTCTGTCTTTGGAGCTTATTTTCTGGCATATGGGATCCCCTCCTTTAGTGCAGAGTGCTGACAACCTGAAATTTCTTGTAATTGATGTTTACAGGATTTCTGAATTGCAGGTTTGTTTGAACATCCTATATTTAGGATCTGGTCTTTGCTGGGTGTCAATCAGTCTGCAAGTGGGACTCTATCAGGACTGACTGGTCAAACCCTTGACTAGCAAGCTGGTGTTCTTTTTGAAGCATGCCTTCAAAATGTTGGGCTTGGGGGAATTTGACCTTCCTGTGTTCTAGTTGCTCTCTGCAAAGAGAAAGGAACCTTCCAGACAAAGTACATTGTGAGGCTGATGTATAAAACATTAGCAAACTGAGGGAAAGGGAGAAATGAAAGAGCTACTGAACTGAAGTATCTTTCTGGCGTACTAGTTGTGTATGTTGTTTGTGTATTTCCTGATAAAAATACTACCTGCAAAGTCCTGTTTTCCCTTTTGCCTCCTCACACAATGATGTTCTCCTGTGCAATTAGCAGTCTAAAATACCCACTCTTCCCATCTGCCAGATCAAATGCCAGAAGGAGGTGGGTGATCTATCACCTCCAAGACTCAGCTGGCCAAGTGGCACCTGTCAAACTCTTCCCAGGAAGGTAGGGGAAACAAATTGAAGAGAAATAGCACTGGTTGCACCTCTGCCTGCACCGAAGTCAGCCGAGATTGTCCTTCCAACCCTTCCCAAGGCTCTGGCAGCCTTTGCCCCTATGGTTGGGTGTGGACTTGGCAGCCCCCCTTTTCAATGGTCTGCACTGGGTGTATGGGTAGGACCAGGTGGGAAATGCGGCTCCACAGCCCACTCAGCTTGTCGGAGTCCATGTGGTCGTAGGAGCTGGGGGTCCTAGTGTTGGTGAACTTGGCCCAGAGGAAGTCACGGACCTTCTCTTCCACCTGCTGGAGGCTGATGTGGGTCTCCAGCACCTCCTCGTCCAACAGCACGGTCAGCAGTAAGGCCACGTCCTTGAAAGCCGCACTTTCATGGTCACAATATTTGTAGAAGATGAGGGTGGCCCCTGCTGGCAGCATCTCAAAGTGGTGTATCACCGCAGCACGGCTCCCGGCCTGGAAAGCCAAGCTGAGCTCTGAGTCCACCTCCTGCTTGGCCTGGTCGCTCTGGAGCCCGGATTTCTCTGTGCCATTGATCTGGACCGTGCTGGCATGCAGGGCAGCTGAGTAGGCGTCAGCCACACGGGTGCTAAGGCATTGCAAGGTCCGCTCACCCTTGCGGGCAGCTGTGAAGATGATGATGGCTGGCTGCGTGTGGTGGGATGCATTGAGGTGCTTCTGCAGGAACTTGCGCCCACGAAGCCACAAGTGAGGACTCTGACCCGGAAACCTGTCCTGCAGGTGGTTGAACTGGGACACAAAGGCCTTCACTGTGAGGTTCCTGGGGTCTTGCTGCACATTGGAGGTCAGGGCGAAGAAGCAGAAGCAGCAGAACAATACGAAGCCTATGAAGAAAAGCCCTGTTCAACAGGGGAGAGTCCAAAGACAGGGAACAGAAGTCAGTCCCAAGTAACCTGCAGTTATATGCTGGAAAGTAGCTACAAGGGCTCTTTTTTTCCCTCCCAGACCTTCCCACTACCCGAGGAACGTGGTTCAGGTTGGCACACTCTCTGGGGGCCCAGCAATGATGAAGAGGCTGCTTGCCCCATGTCAGGAACGTGGTTCAGGTTGGCACGCTCTCTGGGGGCCCAGCAATGGTGAAGAGGCTGCTTGCTCCATGTGGTGAGACCCATGCTCCTACACACCAGTCGGGGAGGCCTACAGCTCCAGAGATGGAGGCAAGGCTACAGCTTTGATGTCGCAGTGCAATTTTCCTGAGGAAATTGCAGCTGGCCACAAGCTTTCTTCTCTTCCCTCCTCTCTGTTTTCTTTAAGATTTGTGGCCATTGGCAGCATGTACCTCCACATATGGAGGTGTCTGACCCAGCTAAGGTGTCCTGTTCACTACTTTCCTCCAAGCTATGCTGGGTGAACTAAAGCTACTGTGCTTCTCCCCAGAAGAGGAGGATAGTGAGGTCCAGATGCACCTGCTAGCATCCCTCTTCATGGCAAAGCAGGGTCTCTTTCTACCAGGAGAAATGTGTGGTGCAAAACAGCATCACAGTTCCTGCCTGAGGCCCCACGGTACAGAGGGAGACTGGGAAGGGGGACCATTACCCTCAGACCTTCTAGGACATGCCAGGGTACTCCTGGCATGCTGAACACGTTGTGCCTGCTTTTATAGGCTCAAACTGAGCCTATTTTTAAGGGACGAGTTTTTCCCTCAAACCCACAGAAAAGGCTGTGAAAGGTCTCGAGAGAGAAGAAGAATTAAATATGCTTCATTACTTGTTCCTGGAGTATTAGTGCCTTCTGGTCGAAGAGTAATGCACAAGGGAAGCTTCTTTTCCTCACCTTTCCCCAAGAGGGACCATTTGGCCTTCTCCTGGCCTGTGTTTTGGGTGGTGACGTTGTGCAAGCAGGACGGAGCCTCTGGCCCTGGGGCTGCGTGCCCTACAATAAGAGAAAGAAATGTGCCCAATGTAGAGGGAACAGCTTAGCTGGGCTATAATAAGAAAAGCAACAGAGGTGCCAGGAGCTCCTGGCTGAGGGAAAGACTGAGAAGTGAATTCTGCTTTGGGTTAATACTGCTTTGAGTCTTGGCTCCTCCTGCTTTTAAGGCAGGGGAAGGAGAAAGGTGATGCAGAGTGCAGGATGGTTGCATGCCTTTCAAAGCAGGACAGCAGCCAAAGGAGAGAGAAAGAGAAAAGCCAGTTAATTTCTTACACCTTCTTTCATGCTTGACTCCAGAAAACTGACAGTGGGCATTAGAGAGCTCATCATAACATTTTTTAATGCCTACGGAAAGCGCAGACGTGTGCATAGTGGAAGAGCAGCAGTGTGCAGCCACCAGCTCACCTTTGGTCCCATATCTGTTCCTCAACATGCCTTGGGATATGCTGTCCTGTGTTTCTTGCTCTATGTGCTCTTCTGGCTCCTGATCTTGGGGAGGGGAACTAGTGCTCTTCTCTGCCAGGAGGCCCTTGGTGACATCTACTGTGGCCGTCACATCTAAATGTGTAATTTTACTGTCAGAGCTCAGTGATTTGCTTCTTGATGTAGCATTGTCCTCTGATGTGTAGGAGCTTTCACATTGCTTGCTTGTCTCCTGGTCCTCCTGAGTTTCCTGGTTCACAGGGCTGTCTCCTTTGCTGTCTGTTTTATCATGGGCCAGCCAGGCTGTGGGGAAGAAAATTTACAGACCTACACTTAGTCTCTTTCAGCCCAAGAACCAACAACCCTTTCTCCTGCTCTCCTTCCTCTAAGCAAAGGACCTGGTTAGCAGCATTTTGGAAATGCAGTACACACAGATGGGGAGAGACTCACCTGTATCCAAGCCATTGTCTTTCTGGGATGTTTCTGAGACACCATCTCCTGTCTTCCCACATTCTTCCTGTGGTACTTTAGGGTCCTCGGGATCCTTCTTCTCTGCTGTGGGGAAGAAAATTTACAGACCTACACTTAGTCTCTTTCAGCCCAAGAACCAACAAACCTTTCTCCTGCTCTCCTTCCTCTAAGCAAAGGACCAGGTTAGCAGCAGTTAGCAGCAGGAAATGCAGTACAGACAGAAGGGGAGAGACTCACCTGTATCCAAGTTGTCTTCTTTCTGGGATCTGTCTGAGACACCTTCTCCTGTCTTCCCAGATTCTTCCCGTGATACTTTAGGTTCCTCGGGATCCTTCTTCTCTACCGTGGGGAGAATGTGGAGAGCAAAATTCATAGACGTACACTTAGTCTCTTTCAGCCCAAGAACCAACAGCCCTTTCTCCTGCTCTCCTTCCTCTAAGTGAAGGACCAGGTAAGACGCATTTTGGAAATGCAGTACACACAGATGGGGAGAGACTCACCTGTTTCCAAGTTGTCTTCTTTCTGGGATCTTTCTGAGACACCTTCTCCTGTCTTCCCAGATTCTTCCCGTGATACTTTTGGTTCCTGAGGAACGTTCTCCTCTACTGTGGGGAAGAAAATTTACAGACCTACACTTAGTCTCTTTCAGCCCAAGAACCAACAAACCTTTCTCCTGCTCTCCTTCCTCTAAGCAAAGGACCAGGTTAGCAGCAGTTAGCAGCAGGAAATGCAGTACAGACAGAAGGGGAGAGACTCACCTGTATCCAAGTTGTCTTCTTTCTGGGATCTGTCTGAGACACCTTCTCCTGTCTTCCCAGATTCTTCCCGTGATACTTTAGGTTCCTCGGGATCCTTCTTCTCTACCGTGGGGAGAATGTGGAGAGCAAAATTCATAGACGTACACTTAGTCTCTTTCAGCCCAAGAACCAACAGCCCTTTCTCCTGCTCTCCTTCCTCTAAGTGAAGGACCAGGTAAGACGCATTTTGGAAATGCAGTACACACAGATGGGGAGAGACTCACCTGTTTCCAAGTTGTCTTCTTTCTGGGATCTTTCTGAGACACCTTCTCCTGTCTTCCCAGATTCTTCCTGTGATACTTTTGGTTCCTGAGGAACGTTCTCCTCTACTGTGGGGAAGAAAATTTACAGACCTACACTTAGTCTCTTTCAGCCCCAAAACTATCAACCCTTTCTCCTGCTCTCCTTCCTCTAAGCAAAGGAACAGGTTAGCAGCATTTAGGAAATGCAGTACAGACAGAAGGGGAGAGACTCACCTGTTTCCAAGTTGTCTTCTTTCTGGGATCTTTCTGAGACACCATCTCCTGTCTTCCCAGATTTTTCCTGTGGTACTTTAGGGTCCTCGGGATCCTTCTTCTCTACTGTGGGGAAGAAAATTTACAGACCTACACTTAGTCTCTTTCAGCCTCAAAACCAACAACCCTTTCTCCTGCTCTCCTTCCTCTAAGCAAAGGACCTGATTAGCAGCATTTTGGAAATGCAGTACACACAGATGGGGAGAGACTCACCTGTATCCAAGCCGTTGTCTTTCTGGGATGTTTCTGAGACACCATCTCCTGTCTTCCCAGATTTTTCCTGTGGTACTTTAGGGTCCTCGGGATCCTTCTCTACTGTGGGGAAGAAAATTTACAGACCTACACTTAGTCTCTTTCAGCCCAAGAACCAACAACCCTTTCTCCTGCTCTCCTTCCTCTAAGCAAAGGACCTGGTTAGCAGCATTTTGGAAATGCAGTACAGACAGAAGGGGAGAGACTCACCTGTATCCAAGCCATTGTCTTTCTGGGATGTTTCTGAGACACCATCTCCTGTCTTCCCTGATTCTTCCTCTAATTCTTCAGTTTTCTGAGGAACCTTTTTCCCTACTGTGGAGCCATCTGAATTCAACATTGTTTTTTTTCCTTCACCGGCAGTTGGTGTTTTATACACCAAAGAGTCCTCCTCTGGTTTGGAGGTGGTCTCACAGGATCTGCTTGTCACTTGGTTCTCACACGTTTCTTGGGTAGCCTCTTGGTGCACAGGAATCTCTGCTGTGCTTTTCACCTCACCTTGGGCTTGCCCAGCTGTTGGGATGAGAGTTCAGAAGCTCAGCTCGCTGTACAGGAGTCAAGAATATGCAGTGCTTGACCAACACCCTGTAAAACTCCCAGTTCTTTTATCTCAGAAAAATCTACTCCCAGTGAGATGGGGGAGAGAATAGGGTGACCAAAATTGAGAAAACTCATGGGAGTTTTCTCAAAGACAGCCGAATAGGTGAAAGAAAGCAGGGGAAACCCCAAGTGATGCAAAGGCAATCGCTCCCCACTTCCTACAAGCAGACTGATGCCAGGCCAGTCTCTGAGCAACGGCCACCTTAGAAGCCAACCTTTCTTCCTGTACCCCAGTTTTTGTTGCTGAGTGTGATGTTACACTGTATGTAATATCCCCTTGCCCACCTTGGGCCCTCAACCAATCTTCTGCCAACTCCAGATTGGTTTGCTTGGCAGGGGGAGAAAAGAGAAAGCCTTGACTCTGCACCAGCGCTGTTCAGCAATCACCAAAACACTCCTCTGTTATCAGTGCTTTCTTTTTTTTTTAAAACCCCAAAACACAGCACTGTACAGGCTGCTAAGAGGAAAGTTAATTCAATCCCAGCCTATGTCCCACGCCGTCCTATGGGGGGTGGGCAGGCAATTCTTTCCTTAAGCGGTAGGATATGGTGCCCACATCTTCCTTGGATGGTGGGTTTTCCTAGGCTGGTAAATTAAGGTGATGGATTTGAAGAATTTCTAAGGCTGTAGTTGAGTTCCAGCCAGAACAGTTACACCAACGCACTTCAAGCATCTGTCTGCATGTAAATGTTAACTCTGCTCATGCTCCTTCTCTGCTCCTGTTCTGGAGCTGCTCTCCCAAAGGTGATGCAGAATTAAGAGGAAACACTGGAGCATAACTCAATAGGGAAATTCTGAGGCTGGACATAAGCGTTTGCAACATATTCTAAATCTTAAAAAATCAAACAGCGAAGCTCAGATTTCAGGCGCTACTTGTGAAAAATCGCTTATGAGTGATCAAGCAATACAATGACAGAAATTATTATGCTAGAATTAGAATAAAGACTGATAAAAATGGCAAGGAACTCCCTACTAATTAGAAAACCGAAAAAGCTGCACTTGTCACGTGTCAGAACATGCTGTCCTTTGGAGGATAATTTTTACATTCCTTGTTGCTGATTATTATGGGAACACTTCTGGCCGCCTGGGACACATCTGAGCTGGTTATAGCAACATGGTATCACTGAAATACTCGGATGTAGTAGTCATAACAAGGCAGCTGGAGAATGTAAGCACGCAGTAGAAACTAAAATGTGAGGAACCTGGAGGTATCCTGCCATTCAAGCCAGGCACAAATAGTACTTCTTGCCCTGCCTCCTCCAAAGGTTTCCCATCAGTAGGTGGTGGAAAACTGGCTGATTATTTAAGCATCTGTAGATGGGAAGCACTGGGATGCAGGGAAGAAAGCTCTCCCAGTCTGGAGCTCCATCTTTAGCTTTCCCTGTGCTGCCATCCTAGGCACAGAGACTAAACCTGTTGCAGATGGGAATCCAAAACTGAAACTTGTTAATCTTTCACCCTTCAGACAAAGATAGCAACTTGCTTTACTTGGCCTCAAAAAGAGGGTATTCTTTTATTTTTTATTTTTACCCCTTTTATCCCTATGCAAAGGGATTTTCCTAGTAGATGGAGTAAGCACAGGATTCACTTACCTCCAGACAGATCCATGCTAGGATTCTCTTCCATTTTCTTTCTTTCTGAGAGCTCTGGCTTCTGCATCTTTTTGTTTCACTTTCTCTTTCAGTCATAAGGGGATGTATCTCCCTGCTGTTCAGGTGGCTGACCTGAAGACCCCCCTCACAGACACCATCTCGTCTTGGCCTCCAGAATTGTGACTAAACACCCATAAACCTGACAAACAAAAACACAGGACCGGTGATTTATGGTGGAGGAGGAGGCGGCTCCTCTCTCCATGCTTACCAAGGTGGTGTGAAAATGGAAGGATGTCCTTGATAACTGTGAACCTTCAGCCCAAGGGCTAGTTTGCTTCCTGGCAGGCTAGAAGCAGTCCAAGGGCTAACGCAAACCACAGCTGTCCCAGGACAAGCCAGTGGAGTGAGGCACCAGTTTCTCATCCAGATAGACTTGGGTGGACTTGGCTGTGCTCTGAGATGTCAGGGGCTCGGGCAGGCTGCCCCGCATGCTTCTGGGCACCTGGTACCTCACAGCCAGGTTGACACAGAGCAATGAGCCTCCTCTAGTGTGTCGGAGGGGGAGATGGCAGTGCTGGAAGGCGAAATCACTGGCAGAAACACCACTCAGCCCCTGTGCAGCAGCATCCCCCCCACCACCACAACCCTGTGCCCATCCGAGGGGCCAAGCGAGGTCCCCTTGGACACAGCCCGATGCTCCTACACACCCTCCACTGATACTTCCACCTCTGCTAAAGAGGTTTGGAACCGGTCGGCCACGCAGGATGGAGCAAGGCTTGCTGTCGTAATCTGAAAGAGCTGGTGGCTTTCAGGAGCACAATGGAAAACTAGGCGGCACGGAAAACTCCCGAGAA